AATTCAATAATTATATGATTTATCTTTTTTAATTTATATAAAATAATCACGCTTTGAAAAACGTTGTAGCTCGCCAATGCTTGTTATAACTTAACTTTGACCTTACCGCCAAACTCACGTCTCACGTTATTTAGAACCTTAACATATAGCTATATAAATAAAGTATTAAATGCAATAAATATTATTTTAAATTGCAATATGTTTTTTCCTTCGTGATTTTAAATTTTAATTTTAAAAAATACTTAATGTTTATATTTTAATATTTAATCTTTTTAATTAACTCAAGTAATATAGATCTCACACTTAGTATATATACAAAATAAGGAATTTATATTTATATATGTAAATATAAATAATCCAATATACAAAACCAAATGCATAAAAAGGCCATATATATGTTCTCTTATGATTATGAAGACTCCTCTAAAGCAATAGCCATCTCAATGGTCTCATTTCCCCTTTGTATCTTTAAGAGAACCTCATCTCCCACACCATAATCATCTAATGCTTTTAAAAACTCTGCTTTATTCCTCACCTGAATACATCAAAATTAGTACAATTTATCATCTTACGTTACTTACAAATCGTTTCACCAATTTAATTAATTTTTAAATATTTTCCCGTTTAATCCACTATTTATAAAATACAGGGCAAATTACCCAAAAAAAAAAAAAAAAAACTATTGTTTTGATTGGAAAAAAATAAAGTACAAGTGGTAAAATATAATATAATTTTCTCTAAAATATATGACACAAATAGAGTCATTTTATATAAAGTGCTTGAAATTATCTGCTTACGGGTTTGTTATCCACTGATACAATGATGTCACCGAGAACAATATTACCCGCAAATCCTCTTGTGGTGGGAAGAAGACCAATTTTTGCTGCCGGACTATTTGTAGGAACCTTAAAAACCGCAAAATTAAAAACATGTAGTGAAATTTCAAAATGATTATTACTTATTACCAGTAGAACAAGAGCTCCATTTCGAACATTAAGTTGATTTGCAACAACATCAGGGGCAATTTCGATATTTAATCCAGCTCGAACAACCTAACATACATAGATTATAGATATACACTATTAGGTGTTAGTGTAAATTGCACAACTATATTATATATATATATATATATATATATATATATATATATATATATATATATATATATATATATATGGGTGTTTATTTTTAATTTAAAAGAACTTACTTTTCCAAACTGAATCAACTGAGGGACTATCTTAACTACCGTGGAGGAAGGGATAGCAAATCCCACCCCCGCTGAAGTCCCTGTCAAGTCAAAACTACATTGTCACTAATCTCTAAATTGGAATTATTTATTATGAGAGAAATAAAAAAAAGTAGAAAAATCACATCACCTGTTTGTGTAAATATCGCAGTGTTGATCCCGATTAAATTTCCTTTAGAATCTAACAATGGGCCTCCACTGTCAAGACATTATTTAAATGTAAGAAGTTGATATTATTGATTTAAAAAAAAAAAAAAAAAAAAAAAAAAAAAAACCTGTTTCCAGGGTTGATGGCAGCATCAGTTTGAATTCCTCCACCAATTGTGACTCCAGTTTGACTAAAGATGTCTCTGTTAAGGCCACTAATAACACCCACAGTGAGTGTGTGGTCAAACCCAAAAGGGTTGCCAATGGCTAAACATTGTTGACCGACTTTTAAGAAAGATGATTGACCGATTTTCATTGGCCTTAAAAGATCTCTAGGTGCTTCCACCTGTAATTTCATTTCACCATTTTATCATTTTAGTTTTTGGCCACTAAATTATTATAAATTAAATTGAACTTGAAAGAAAACCCATGTTACGCAATGGGGTCGGGTTTTTTTTTTTTTTTTTATGTATTATCAGCAGTTTAGTAAAAGACAATGAGGACAATTTTTGTAATTAGTTTCGTACAAAGGGGTCAAACATGCCAAAATACAAAAAATCTTACACATATGGACTGTTTTTGAAAGAAAAAAACTTTACAGGGACCTTTTCTATAAATTAAACAATTGCAGGTACTAAATTTCCCAAAATGTAAAGCCTTTGTTGCAGGGACTAAATCTGTCAAAATGTAAAGCCTTTGTTTCAGGGACTAAATCTGTCAAAATGTAAAACCTTTGTTGCAGGGACTAAATCTGTCAAAATGTATAACCTTTGTTGCAGGGACTAAATCTGCCAAAATATAAAACCTTTGTTGCAGGGACTAAATCGGCCAAAATATAAAACCTTTGTTGCAGGGACTAAATCTACCAAAATAGAAAACATTTGTGGCAAAAGTCCAAAAGTGAAAAACATCACTATTCATAAGCACAATGAGAATTAATAGTATATATAATATAATACTTTTTTTACCATATTTTAAGGAACCTTTTTTACTGATTACATATCAGGGGCCAAATAGTGAAATACAACAGACACAACACACTTTCACCATTTATTGATTTAGCCACTGAAGAATTATTTTTCTTCAAATTCACTAAACTATTATTACAAAAAATTAATACATCAGGGGATAAATCGATGTACTTTATTCAATGTTTTTTTAATAAAAGTAATTTTTCCAGATATCAAGACAAAAAAAATACAAAAACCAGGTAACGAGAAAAATGGTTTTTTTTTATGGTTAAAAAGTAATAATGGTTTATTTTAAAGGGTAAACCAATAAAATGGCAAAAATATTTTCCAATATTATGAAAGGGGAGATTGAAAATTAAAAAAAAAAAAAAAAAAAAAAAATACCTGTAAGACAGCAAGGTCCTTGGATCGGTCTGCACCTATTAATTTGGCTTCAAAATTCTTTTGTACCCTTTCAATATAAGAAATTGGTGAGGTATAATTTATATAAATTACTAAATATAAATCATAAGATAAAAATAAATTAAAAAAAAAGAGTCTCACCCTTCTGAGGCAAGAATATTAACTTGTGCAACAACTTGTCCAGGTTTTGGATTCCTTGATAACGAATTGCCAATAACTGCTCAACCATAAGTGTAATTTGATGATAATTTTTATAATCATATTTAATATATTAATCATTTATGAAATTTTAAACAAAGGAAAACATTGTATGATATTACCATGGTAATTCGTGACAATGTGCCCTTCTTCATCCCAAACAACTCCCGAACCATTTCCTTCAGGAATCTGCAAATAATCTAGAAATCAGATAAAACTACTCTTATGTCCAATCATTAACAATGAGCTTTCTAGGGCTCTTTTTCTATAAACAAGATGAGGAGGGCATTCACGTCTTTTTACAGAGATAAGTCCTTTTTGTCTCATTGAATCCAATACATGTCAAACTTACTACAATGGAGTTTATAAGTTTGTTCAAAATTACCTCAACTACCCCTGTAACATTAAGCTGGGGGCGTAGAGTTACATCAAATATATTGACAACTGAGTAAGTGTTGTTCTCAAATAGCTTCACGATTCTTTCCTGCCATTGCCAAGCATACAGTCATACACATATCAATATACCTGCCATGAACATACATTATAAAGGGTAAAATATACAAGTGAACTGGTTTCAAGAATAGAATTGATAAGAATAATGAAGAAGAAACCTCAGGAGGAAACAGTGGCCCAGAAGGGATAACAACTGGTGTTACTTGTTCAAGTGTCACAGAAGGGTCTCCCAAAGCATTAGCTGATAAACAAATGTTCATATAAAAAAATTAGAAAGAAAATGAATTGCTTAAAGGAACAGGATGGATAAATGGATTGTTCGAACCTGATGAGTACCTTGAAGGGGGAAAGTATAATGGCATCAATAAACTTGTCAACAGCGTTCTTCGTGTTGTAAAAAAAACTTTTGTAACCTCTCCCAAATCATTGAGTGTTCTTTCGCCAATTCTGCATACACGAAAGAAAAGCTGCATCAAAAAGCATGGAAGTAATGATAAAGCAAATTGAAAAAAATCAGAAATAAGATCTTCGAATTTTCAATTAATCAGGTAATCAAGAGCTTAATGCTGAGAATAGTAAAGTGTTTCACACGGCATTACCACCCCAATTTCCCCTTACATTAGGTTAATTCTCAACAACAAACGCCCAAACTAGTCAATTACACAATCATATTTTATATCAATCCCGAAAAACAAACGATCAATGTACGTTAGCATACGAATTTCAAAATCGCAATGTAAGTAATTCAGGAGTAGGTAAATCCAAAAAAAAAAAAAAACAAATACGTTTTGGTGAAGATGCGATGACGAGGTGAAACAGAGTCGTCGTCATGATGCGTGTCTGAGGAAGAACACATAGATGAAATTCCATCGAAACAGAGTTTCCGGCGACCGACAAAGCGCCGTACAGGAGCCATAACTTTACTTTCCGTTTGCGGAGGAAGCATGTAACCATTCCAAGCCATCACCACTCCCATTATCGCATACAAAATCCCTAATTTCAAAATTTTAACTTATAGTACAGAAGGAAGATATGAATACAGCAAATTTGGCCAGTTCCTGTTTTTGCTGGTTTCGGCTATGCCATCGAGGCTTGTTACTTCTTATCGCCTCCGTATTGCTCAAAAATATCTTCACATTTTCAAATGGGTTCGAATTGCAACTTTGCAAGTCCAAAACAAAAATATCTTCACTTCTACAAAATTTACGGGTATTCACAAATAGTTAAATTAAATTCTTTTCATATCTTACCAATAAATTTTGATTGTGTTCTTTTTTTTAGACAAAACTTCAAAAATGTCCCTGTGGTTTTCAAAAAAATCAAGTTTAATCCTTAAGTTCAAAAAACCTCACAGATCGTCCATGTGGTTTCAAAACTTTTAATATTTAGTCATTCCGTCTAACTCCGTCAGCTTTCTGCAGTTAAGTGAGGGGCATTTTCATCATTTCAATACCCAAGGACCACTTATGAGGTTTTCTTTATTAAAAAAAAAGAGAAAAAATATAATTATTTAATAAAATGGCCCCACCCTCTCTCTCTCTCACACACACACACAAATATGAAGCCATATGTTCTTTACCATTTTAGAGTTCGCCGACGTCTCCATTTCCATAGATACAAGCTCCCACCCCTTCATCCCGTCGACGGTGGAGGAAAAATTGGGAATTAAAACATAAATGGGAAGAGGGCAAGACGCTTACATGAACTTTGGGATGGACTTGAGGCGCGATTGAGGGTCTTTCGGTAGAGGATGACGACTGTGGCAGGGTGGAGCTGAAACTTGATGGTGGTTGGGTGAGACCGTGTAGCCTATGTGTCATTTTTGAGTTCCAGTTGTTGGAATTTTTAGTTGCTCTATAAGAGGTGCCTGTGTTCTGTTGTGAAGATGAAGGCTGGTGATAGAGGTTATGAAGATTCTGGTTTCGTTGAGATGAAGGGTGAAGGTTGTCGACCTGTCAACACCAGCAGACCACCACCATCAAAGAAATTAGGGTTCTATAGAACAGATCAGAATCTAGGGGCCATCACTATCTCTCAAACTTTTCTTCAAGAATATATGGATTATGCCCTGTCAAGAACCCTAACCAAAAATCAGTTTTGATTCCAGGTTCATATATATTGTCCTGCACCTAATCTTAGTTGCTATTTGGTGGCATCTGTTTTTAGATTATTAGCTTTATGTGTATATTTTCATTTTCTTTGATTATAAATCTGTGTGTATTGAGTTCGGCTACAATTTGGATTTCAGTTAGAAGTAAAAACAAAGATTTCATGGTGATTTTCTTAAGTTGCACACCAACTGTTTGTGCAAATGCCCCCAATGACATCAATTTGTCCCCTCCCCCCCCCCCCCCCACACACACACACACACATACCCACCCTCCCACCCACCAAGCTGGTTGTTTCTCGTTTCACAGCTTCACCATAACAAAGATGATGATCATATGAAGATGAACATGGTAGAGAGAGATGTTTATGTTTGTGTATGTGTTTTTAAGAGAGTGAGATATGAAATTAGAGTTGGATTCCATTTTCTCTGACAGTTTTGCTTCACCACTTGACTTATTTTGTGATCTTGATGATATCCAACTATATGGATTTAAGGATAACGAAAGTTGTGAATTACCAGATTGTGATTTGGACAAGTTGAATGGTGATGAACTTGCTTGAACGAACACACTGAGGGTAGATGAGCCTTTTATTAATGAACAACTGGTTAATATTGTGTGCCTGTAAATTTTGCAGCAATTAGAAGAGAGTTTTTCAAGGGTTTTAGAGAGAGAGAGAGAGAGAGAAAGAGGGGGGGGGGTTGGGACCCTTTAATATTTAAAAAAAAAAATTAATAAGGCAAAACTTCATAAATGGTCCATGTGGTAGTGAAATGACAGAAATGTCCTTCACTTAACGGCCAAAAGATAACAGAGTTAGCGAAAAGGATCATTTGTTAAAAGTTTTGAAACCATATGGACCATCTGTGAGGGTTTTTGAACTTATGGACTAAACTTGATATTTTCGAAAACCACATGGACCATTTTTGAAGTTTTCTCTTTTTGTAATTTATGGTAATCTAAGTGTTTCCAAAATTTCATATTAAATCGGGTATTTCGAGTTTGAAATATGAATAACCAATTTTTTCATATTATTTGCAAATCTTATATTCATTTAAAAATTTTAATTGCATTTTTTTAGTGCAGTTTTTTCCGGATTTACTGCCTCTATTTGAAGTGAAGGGTATTTACTTAAATCCACCCGAAGAAAAGAAGCTGTAAAACTCTATATTGGAGGTCTAGGAAACTAACACGTAGCGCTATTCTACTTATTTATTACGATACGGATATATATATATATATATATATATATATATATATATATATATATATATATATATATATATATATATATATATATGACGCTTAAAAATTAAGTTTCATTTTAGCCCCCAAAAAAGTATGTTATAATAAAACTGTATATTTGTTTTTGAAAAACTTAACTTACGAATCTTTCTGTAAAATTTTCTAACTTTAATAGTCATAACACATGTTATGTTTGGAATTCTTTACTAAACAAATTTTTTTTTTTTTTTGTATAATTTTGAAACTTTATTGCCATTCTAAATCATTTTTCAACAACAATTTGTCAACTCAGCTACTAGCCTACTATAGTCGGTGATATATAGGTATTTTTAGAATAAAAAAATGACAATTTTAGTGATGCGTCTATATACAAATGTTATAATTTTTTTTTTACCTCACAAAGTTCATTAGTATTTTTTGTGTATAATTTTGAAGCTTTGTCACCCTCCTAAGTTATTTTTTTCCAAACAATTTATCAACTTAATCATTAAGTTACTATCAAGGTTGTAGAACTCGTTATTCGATACCTGTTTGACCAACCGCCGAGTAACAAGTACTCGAGAGTATTGAGATTCGGTAATTTATATAGAAATATTTTTAAGGAAATAATATATTTTGATAGTTAAAATCATAAATTAATTGAAATATATAACAAATTTAGATACATGTAAACATATAAAAACATCTCACTTTACGCATAATTATTGAAAATTTAAGTTATATATGTAATAATAATCACATGTGTATGTGTTAAATAATAAATCATTAAGTAATTATACACTACATATTCATCATCGAGTTAGTTGAGTTTTACAACACTGTTCGTTTCAGTAAGAGCCCGATTGGGGAGTACTCGGATTCTGTAACTTGCCTCGGTAAGGAATTGAGTAAAGAGTATTCGACCAAGTAATCGACCAACTCGGCGAGTTTTACTACACTACCTACTATAGTCGGTGATAGAAGGGTGTTTTTTGAAATGATAATTTTAATGATTATATATGTACAAACATTATAATTTGTAGGTATTTTTACTAAACAAAATTCAATAATATTTTTTTGTATACTTTTTGAATTTTGTTACCTTGAAAGCAAAAGAATAAAAGTAGTGCAATTTTATTCCAACTTCCCCTTGTAATCGCCACCTTTTACTATTTCAGTATTTCTTCATCTTGTAGTAATTATCTATTTTTTTCCCGGCACCAACTAAATAAAAATTGCACTGCTTTTACTTTGTAATTCATTTTCCTTACACAAAGTTGCAATAAATCCATGTATGTACAACGGTTGCTTGGTAAATTAATACATATAAAACCACTTCCAATAACTTGCTCTAGCTAATTATTTACTTTTAAAAAGGACATTCTCACTTAAAGCATACTTCCTGGTTCATCACTATTATTATAACATGCTATATTTATAATAACAATCAATAATAATACACATCGTGTAACTTCAATTTACGAACCTAAAAGTAGCAACCATGATGCAACAAAAACAACTCGAACAGAAAAAGAGTTCCAGTACATCTTAAAGTATCACTAAATTTACTAATTTTGGATGTGTGACTTAAAATAGACGAGATACACAAATCATTCAAGGGATGTACAACTTCAAATGATAAAAAGAAGAGTTCAAAAATAAACCTATTAAACACTTGTCATGTTTTCAATACTAAAAGACTTGTCATGTTTTCAATATTAAACACTTGTCATGTTTTCAAAAATAAACCTACAATGTCACCACCGATGGAACTGTTATCATCTTAGGTTATGTGTTATGTGCATTTTTCCAATTTTTTAACACAATAAAAGAAAATAAAATCATTGTATGTAATTTTATATCTTTTCAAAAGCTTACAACTATTTTTATCAAACACTTATATACAATTTAACGCAACTTCGACTCCAAATAAAAGTTACACTTTCAATTTCTAGCTCAAGCTTCAACTTCAGGCTACAAACTACCCGTTATTGTTTTTGTCGACATACCCTATGTACCCTCCCCACTCCGACTATAAATATATCATGCTAACTCGATCTAATATATATTATCTACACCAATACAATACAAGTGTTGTATTAAAGATCAGAAATGAAAGGAGATGTGATAGTCATGTTGGCAATGTTAGCCATGGTTCAGTTCATGGTGCAACCAAGTGAAGCTCTTTCTTGTACTGATGTTGATCTTCTACTTGGACCATGTCTAAACTACCTGAAGTTTGGTGGAAAACCACCTCAAGATTGCTGCAAAGGGTTGGAGAGGCTTGAGGCTGCAGTCACTACTCAGGTTGATAGACAAGCGGCTTGCAATTGTTGTAAAATTGCTGCAAGAACATTTCAGATAAGGGAGGATACGGCTTCTGAACTCCCTGACATATGTGGAGTCAAAATTAGCATCCACATAGATCCTAATGTTGATTGTTCCACGTGAGTGCATAGCTTTAGTTGGATATGAAGTAGATAATAATAATTAAACTAAGATTTTGTGTTATTAAGTTATTATTATGTGATGTATGTTATTTTCTTCTACTAATTTCTTCTTTTATGGCGCAGAGTTTCTTTATATCAGAGTTACAAGTGAAGTCGGTGGAAGATAGTGGATCTCGTTTTGAATAAAGACGTGGTTGTTAGTTGTTGCTGTTAAATTTCTACAAACTATGCATGTTGTAGAAAATCTATTATCGAATGCGTATGTGTTATGGTTGTGACATGTTCACGATGTGTGGACTTGAGATGGGTAATAAATTATAAGATAAAATATTATTATTGAATGTTATGTGTAATTAAACTTTTCCAAACGCGTGGAAAGTTAAACGGAGTTAAATAATAGGAAAAAATAATTATTATATTTTGGAAAAACATAATGGTATGTGTAAGTGATAATCATTGTATAATACCCCGAATTTTGAGTTAATAAATATCAAAATATAACTATCTAAACATAGATTAATTCTAAAACTTAATTATTATCTAAACTACACTGGAAGCAATAAAAATAAAATAACATCTTTGAATAAACAGCTTCGCGTGTTACGTCTTTGTGAACTGCTTTGATATCTTCTTCATTAATCATATTCCTTGTCTTTTCCATTGTCACTAGCTAAATTGTTTCGTGGGTTGTACACATTCAAAGTTTCTAAATAGATAAGTCTAGGGCAAGGGTATAGCCAATATAGAGCAAGAATGGGCATTAGCCCACCCACACAAAATTAATATGACATATTTCATTTAAAACTTGAAATTAGTATAAGAGAATACATTGTCGTTTATTTCGATTAGACTTCCTTTTAGATTATTTTAATGATGTAAGACAACATCGTGTGCAACTTAAAATAAACAACTTAGTTAAGAATGCATATATATTTACATTTTATTATCGTTTGAAGAATTTTGCTACTCATTCATATATTATATATTATTTGGCATACCCTAAAATAAAATCTTGGCTATGCCACTGGCATAGGGCCTTGTGAGTTCGTGTTGCACATACATGTCTATCACTTAAAAAAACTAATAGTTTTATCATATAGTTTCAATACATCATATAACAAAACATATTACCCGATGACATAATTTAGAAGAACGATTAATTATCCAGAGAAAGAACCAATGGCTCGTTTCCCCTCCCCTTTGTACAACCTATCAATTGTACTCAATAATTTAAAATATCCAAGGAAATGAGTATGATTCTCAATTTACATCCCCGTCGATCAAACCCATCCATCATTGTAACACCCGGAATCTGGAAGGGTAATTATAGAAAATAAAACCTCGTTTATAAAGGTCAACTCGTCGAGTTTAAGGTATAAACTCGACGTGTAGAAATTATGAGTCACGCGCATTTTCGAAGATCAACTCGATGAGTTGGAGGGACCAACTCGATGAGTTGGAAGGGACCAACTCAACGAGTTGGTTGCGGTTTGAGAAACCTTAATTCGAGGTTTTGCAACCTATTTAAACAACTTAAACTCTAGG